CGTAGGCGGGAATCCCAGTTCCAAGTTTCTATCGGCAGGCGAGGCAAACACCGCAGTTGATGTGCCCATTACATTTTCTGCCACATGGAATGCAAATACGGTGATCATCGTAAGTGAGCATCGATATATGGCACTCTTCACACTTTCGTCCGAAAGTGTTTGAATTCGAAGTGCTGGGATGAACGGTGTTCAACTCTCCGGTATCCATATTTTCCGCCATCTTGAAACTGAAGGCGGGCTTTTGAGTTTCGTTACTAAAACTACAATTTTTTACTCAAGGTGACTAAGTACGAAGTTCTTGATGTCCACAAGAGCTTCCTGACACACTAATAGTTCGGTGGCTGTGTTGATGGGTGGTAACAATGTATTTCCACCGCAAAAACAATGATATTTTGGCAAGCCCAAATTTCAACCGTGAATCAATCTCGTGGTTAAAAATGGAAGTATGCAAATCAGATGACAGGGGAAGGACGCCCCCTACGGGAGCTATCCACTGTTATTTCGATTTTATTTAACCAGTATTATATGATAATTGGCAATTATCCCATTTGTTTATGAAATTAAAATTTCATTAACCAAAGGGGTTAGTATGCAATACTCTGTAATAAACAAGTGTTCTAATACAAGTGCTGTCATCATTAAATGTTCTAATACAATAGATGTCATCATTAAGTGTTCTAGTACAAGTGATTTCATCATCAAGTGTTCTAGTACAAGTGATGTCATCATTATGTGTTTCAGTGCAAGTGATGTCATCATTATGTGTTCTAGTACAAGTGATGTCATCATGTGTTTCAGTGCAAGTGATGTCATCATTATGTGTTCTAGTACAAGTGATGTCATCATTCTGCATTTAAGTACAATTGATGTCATCATTTTTTTTTATTATGTACATAAGAAGTGAGACGGGTTCTGAGGAGGTGAGGTGGTGCCAGCATACAGTAAAATCATTCAGTATGAACAAAATAAACTCACCTAGGTTGAGTGAAAGCACCCTGTAATACCAATGCTGCATGGCATGCACACTGTGTACGAATATCATTTAAAACACTGCTCAAAGGAGGCTGGCTGGATTTCTTCAATGAAGAGAAAGAAAATAATAGTAAAGAAAGTATTTAACTGCATTCACAATATCATCACTATGGTTGGTTAGAAATTCAAAACAAAATATAATGATGAGGCTTTTAAACTACACTGTACATGCACATCTATTTTTACAGAGAGTCTCTCAAGATGAGACAGGAAATGTCACCAGTGTCAGATTCCAAATGTCAAGATGAATAAAATCGTGTATAGACCTTTGGTGTATTTCTTTCCTCCATGCTAACTCTATCAAAACATTCCATTAAATAATTCAACATTTCAGTTTCTTTGCAGTCTTCAATATTGAACCGTTCACTTCCAGAGTCACCAGCAGTTGATGATGGACTTGGTACAGAAAGACTAAAACTGGAAACAATATAATATAATATAATGTCATGGTTTTTGTCATACATTTTATTGGGATCACTCACACTCACAGAAATCTTTATACAATTCTATATTCTTGATTTACTTCAACATAAATAATTTAGAAGCCGAAAAAACTAGTTAATTTTTTTCTAAGACATTTTATAACAACAAATGTTTGCTCTTTGCTTCATGACTTTCTAGAAAAAAATCGGCTGAGCTGAGCTGATTTTTTTCTGTTAATAACTAAAACATTTTAGTTTATAAATTTAGTTTCCTAGCATCACACGCAAGACGATTGGATGTGACTTTGGCACACTGCATTACTGCAGAACCACAATAAGATGCCAACAATAGTTACATCTTAAGCTGACGAAAATACAGGATACTATTTTTAACGTGTAGTGCAGCCATAGTTTTTGACTGCAATTACCAGACATTTTGGAGTGAATGTATACTGTAGAATACTTTATTTTCGCTTGGAATTTATTTTCGCTGAAGGGATAATTCTGTGAAAATAAAATCCAGCAAATATACTTTTGTTCCTATATTTCACATTCAACTCATCAAAAATCAGTGAAAATAAATTCCATACAAAACACCCAAAAAGCTTTTTCAGCGAAAATTAATTCCAACGAAAATAAAGTATTCCACAGTATTGTAGTGCTTACCTAGGTGGAGACGGTGAATACCCTTTATTGTTAGACGTTGATAATCTTGGTTGTAAACCATCCGCTGTTAAGCTAGGGAGTCTATTTTCACCCCTACAGTGATTGGTTAACACTTCAATCAGAATCTGATTTATTAAATCTTTTAAATCAATGTAAACTGTTGAGAAAACATTCATACAAGAGTTTTAATATGGAAGTCAATATAGCAGTAATGTTGAATCATTAGGATGTGTGAGGGCGCTATACCAAAATATGTCATAAATGTAGTCAGCCAATCACAGAGCACCTTGCTACAAAAAATAAATAATTTTACATTTTGTTACACACGCTTTGACTGGTTGTTAGTCAAATGTGTAACAAGTAGATTGTCACAACTGTAAATGTAAATTTGTTGATAAGTTAAATTCACTGAATCAAATCCATGTAAACAGGTTACCGTTAAAGTCCTATTATAAACCGCGGTTTATATTACAATGTATCAATTTAAAAATTGGGATCAAAAGCTCAAGTTCGGGGTGCGGTTTCTATTACGTTCATACTGCAATCACTAAATGGGCGTGGTCATTTTTTGTCCACAACACGTGCACAAAACAAACAATACACCGTGCAATCTCTTGAATAGGCGTCGGGGAAGAGTGAAAGGCCTTATTTTGGTTCTAAAATAGGCGTTACGAAATGTTGAAAAATTACAGTCAATCAAAAAAAAATTCTACATGATACAAAAAATACTCAGTATTTTTAATGTAATATGCATTTATTTTTTTAATTTTCTTGGTAACGAAAAGTATATTCTAACAGAAGTTTCAAATAAAAACACGAATGCACTGCTTAGTAGCAAATGATCACATAACGGTAGCTCGATCCGGCCATGCTGCTGGTCACAAGTGAATAACTTACTTGTTTTCGAAGTGTTGATATTGGTGATTATTATTTAGTAGTGATTACATAAATAACGCACGAAAAATAAATTCGTTGAATTGTTATAAAATGCAAGTAAAATTCAACTTAGTTTCCTCGTAAGCGAATGATTTCAG